TAAAAATATCAATAGATATCAAACAAGTAACTGACGCTCCTCTTCCCGCGTAACATACTCACGCTTTGAGATCCCAACGGGAGCCACAAGGAAACCACCCAGGCCGACCAACGGACGATGAACCGAGACTGGAGGAACATAAACTGACTGACTGTCACGATCTAACGACTCCCGCGACGGGGAAATACCACCACTACCCCAACAGGGGACAAAGGAGGACTCAAACCTTCCCCAGAAGACACCGAATGAGACGAACCAAACGACGTTTGAAAATTATCTTCAACAAAGACACCTGCCTTCACCGATGATTCGACAGACACACTGCCCGGCGCATCTGCGCCAAGACCAATCTCTGAAGATGTCCGAAGCTGTCCCTGATGCACAACAACTGATGGGGAGCCCATCCTAGAGCTATGTGGCACTTGCTCCTGGTTGCGGACGGCTGCTTCATACCACCGCTGGCCAACTTGGTCGGCCTGCCGTTGCCGGTGCCATCTCGCGCTGAGGAAGTCTCTAGCAATATCACTGAGCTTTGACTGCAAAGTTGACAAGTCAAACGGCTCTCTGGCAAGAGTGGTCAACTTTTCATGGCCATCTTGATGTCTTGGACGTTGACAGAGTTTTTGCACGGCTGGCCTGTCTTCGTCTCCCCGCAACAGGACACAGGACCACCGTGAGGGATCCCGCAGACAGCAAATACGTTCCAAGGCAGTATAGAAGACATTGGGCTGATGGCAAAGGCAGAAAATGATTCGAATGGGTATTGATGTTGCGCAATCTCCGCAGCGTTCCCTCGGCAGCTTTATATGCCATCATCATGGAATCTATACTTACATCGCGTCATGGCTGCTGACGTGGAACTTCTCCCTTGAAACAGTTAAGACGTCGAAGAATACACTGCGACGCAGTATCTACTGCTATACCGCTGATCAATGGGTGCAAGAAGGATGTCTCATTCTGGTTCACTCTTTGGATTCAGTGGGCCGTGCATTTGGACCATGCATTTGCGGAATGGCATAGCTGGCAAACTGCGAGTCGCCTAGGGGCATTTCGAAGAGCGCGTTGGTTCATGAGCTTCAAGGCCGAAGGCTCTGGATACGACATGTGGTATGTTCGCCCTTAAAGTGGGTCCCCTAGGCTCTATTGCTACACTGCCATATGAATTATTTGCCGGTTTCTCGGATCTTGAGGCCCAGTTGTAAGGGGATAGTCGCGTATACATCCCAGTGAACCCAGATGCCATGTGAGTCCCGCATATCGTATCTCCACTCATTGTGTATGCCTCGCGCGTATCCCGACAAATGTGGCTAGAGCTCCCAGGAAATAATAACCGCTTTTCAGGAACAAGATGAGTAGTGCTAGGAACTAGCTAAGTCATACCTCTTCTGCGCGGGCATGTACTGGCGAAAGAGCAAGATGAAAAGCCTACTGTGTACTTTCGGAAGCTTATATATATTGTGCCCTCCCTACATGGTAGCAGATACCAGCTCACAATCTATGTCTTCTCCAGCTGTTTACATACAAACCTCGTAATTGAAACGAGACACTTTTGCATTTACTTTCATCATGCCATGGACTCCTCTCCCTCTTCAAGGGGTATTGAGTCAAGTATTGGGCGATCCCTTGCACCGTGAGCGGTGCATATGGGTAGGATATGACGGGAATCACTGTCAAAACACTGTGCCGCTTGGCTCCCGGATAAATGGAGTATTGTGCTTTCAGCTGCTCCAGAGCCCTCCGTTAGTGTATCCACTAGCGCAGGAAATTTCCTCAGCTGCAAAGCAGTTACTTTGCTTAGAGTGCAGACGCCATCGCTGTCGATCAAAAGTGTGGGCCACCCAATTTTTGCCTCAGTTGGATCAAGCCAAAGATGACACGGTTCACTCGGAGCCTCATGATTCGGCTCTACTGGTACATCAATGGCCAACCAGCATGTCCCACAATGTCGCCACAGCCGTTTTCCCCAATGTGTCTTTCCCAAAGCCGGAAGAGGCCGCCTGGCGAAGAAATCAACTAGCGACATACCCCTAGGTTGGCCCGAGCCGTGAAGATCGAGGATCCGGACGTTCTCCAGACGACAAGCGGCTTCAATTGTGCAGTTGTTACATGCATCCGGTACAAACGATGCAATTCACGAATATCGAAAGTTTGTTACTCGTCCACGCAGTGCGGTCCCTCGACTTCCCTCACGAACCAGTTTCGCACGGAATGGCCACCTGAAGGCTCTTTGTTCTCGCACGACGACCCGACAGGTTGTGGAACTAAAAAGAGTTTAGTTTCAGTCTGCTTTGTGAATGTTCGCGGTAGTGGGTCCAAACTAATCGAGGTGCCGTCGTCTCATTTTCACGATCTGTTAGCGTCATTTGGGGACGCCTCTGGGGATGGGGCGGCTGATCGTCGTGTGCGTTCCACCCGAGAAGCAGCGGTAGTTATCTCTAGAGGAGGCTCTGATGGACTGATAACTGAGAAAAAATGTTCGAATTCATGAAGCTTTCGCTCAAGCCTCTGAAATCTCGAAGAACAAGTTTTCCTCATATCTCACAGTCAATGTGCTCGTGGTGCGTGGGAGGACAGCAGTTTGAGGAGATCGTTGGGATCTGTGAAATAAAAATAATGCCCGGAGGCCTATTCAAAGCAAAATAATACGATACACTCATCGAACCTTTTGGTGCAGTCATTAAGGATTGGTAGCCTAGAAGAGCTATTGAAATCTACATCTGGTAGGTTCGTATCACAATGCGAGGCCGGTGGTTACCAACGTCAATTGGTATCGATATTATTTCAAACGCAGTATATCTGATTTTCTGCGTTCCAACTGTTTTGTAGTCAAATCAACGTCATGGTTAAGTTTCAACGATGTCTACTTGATGTCTAACATTCAACGCGTCAAAGGTACACTTGCAAACTACCTTCAGTAGGTTCGGTAACGATTTTTCAACGTTTACTCTTTTCTGCCTTTTCGTATATCGTTGGATGATTCGTGAGCAGCCGGTGAGATCGAGAATCAACAGTTGAGCTAACTGTTCACTGGCCTTTCCAAAGTGCGGTCGATCCTAGGTGAGGAAGCACTGGTAGAAATACCAGCAGCCTCGCGTGAATTGTCAGCTATAAATGCCCCTCAAGCATAATTTCTGATCTAATTCGTCTTGATGACCAAAATGGACCATCCCACTTCGCCTTCCCCAATTGATCGGCCGGCCAAGAGACAGTGCCGAGTATCCCAAGCTCCAGAAGATGAACCCAAGTTGGAAAACCAACCACAGCAA